CGCTTGGGGAGGGTGAAATCTCAAGCCAAAGTTATTTTTAAAATTCTATTTAGAAGCTAAAATACTCACCAGTAACTGCTCAAGGAAGAAGAAATAGCATATTGTGCTGATCAAAACAAGCACCACAAAGTCCTGCCAAGCACTGCAATGACAGATTCAAATTTTGATTAGACTCCAAAAACAGACACAGTAACTGAGAAACTAGTTCAACAACATTGTACGGAGTGCTACTCCATCAGCCAGTACTAGAGCTTCTTCCCACTATTCACAACTAAGGGTTCAATTTACTTTTTAATATTAAATACAGACAGATGTAGAAGAAGCACCAATTGGAAGGATCAAACGGAAACTGGAGATAGAACTTCTTCAAATCTCACAAGGCAAACGTGTACAATCAATGCAAAAACTAAGAAAAATTTAGAATGTGTAACACAACTGTGTGAAAGAAATCGTATTTTCCAAGTGATGTTCACCTTATTCTTCTAGAGTTGTTGTGCTCCTGTCTGTTATCTCGTTGACTAGTGCTTGGGACCCGAAGCAGCGTCACAGGTAAATTAGAAACTTCCTGTCGACAAACATCACAAGTTTTGTTCCCTTTCATGCTAAACCACTTGATCGCACAGTCCTCATGAACAAGTCTTAGGTCACCTTTGCAGCTGCACTCCATTTGGAACGTATTGCCTTCATCACATGCATCCAGACAGATCCTACAAACTGCTTCCTCTTCAGGAATTTCCCTATCCTCATTCTCAGGAGCAGGAGTAATTTCTTTGTTCATATTAATCAATTTTTGAAGCGTCGAAGCAGAGGAAAAGTCAAATATTAATCATAACATTTTCAACAGCTTACTACAGAATTTTCGAATACACTAGGAAGTAGAAGTCACTAAAAATTTTGAAACACTTTTTTCAATGGATTCAGGAGAAGAATGAAGATTCAGATGCATGGGACTCATTAATCAGCTTATAACAGAAATCATTTTATAAATAAGTAAAAACCAGAGTTGGATTAGATAGTAACAAGTCTGTGAAGAAATGGTTACTTTACATTATTGATTTCTTAACTGCCAAAAAGGCTGTATCAGCGATCACTTATTTACTTGGAAGGCTTCACTACACATTTGTGACGAATACAGTAGAATGTGGATAAGTTTAACATCATACAGCTTCATAATTAGTTTGACTTGATTAAACGTGGTACACTAGTGTTTGATAATTCAGGCACACAGCTTAAACAAATATGACTTACCATCTCCAGTATCTGGAACATGCTCTTCATGGGTAGCAAAGGACATTGATCTAACAATGACAAAATTTCTCCCAGGCACAGAAAGAGACCTTGACATGCTAGCTTTAGATGCCCCAATCTGCGATGACTGCAAGCAGAATTACAAGTCACAGACATGAGTTAGTGTACATGGAAAGTAGAGAAACCATTGGACGTAACATCTATTATCATTACAAGTAGGAAACATCTAATATGTTAATGGCCTCATAACTGGTAGAAGGTTCCAGCGAGTGGAAGGAAAGAGGATTAACTCTAGATTACAATTCCTTTCAAAAGTGAGTTCCTAAATATTTATAATGACAGGAGATCTTCTTGGCCATTAGGTAATTGAACATACAGTGAGGCTGGCCTCCAAAATATTATTGCTTTTTCTGTGGCATTAATTCCTGTCTTAGTGTGTATGAAAAGTATGACTAACACAAGGATCAACAGGTTGACGTGACTGGCATGTTGTATACAAAAACATTAGATTATCTGTTGAAGTTTGTCAGACCAGACATTTATATTAAAATAAATTGCATCATAATTTCAGTTAGATTTGACTCTGTCTTAGTGTGTATGAAAAGTATGACTAACACAAGGATCAACAGGTTGACGTGACTGGCATGTTGTATACAAAAACATTAGATTATCTGTTGAAGTTTGTCAGACCAGACATTTATATTAAAATAAATTGCATCATAATTTCAGTTAGATTTGACTCTGTCTTAGTGTGTATGAAAAGTATGACTAACACAAGGATCAACAGGTTGACGTGACTGGCATGTTGTATACAAAAACATTAGATTATCTGTTGAAGTTTGTCAGACCAGACATTTATATTAAAATAAATTGCATCATAATTTCAGTTAGATTTGACTCTGTCTTAGTGTGTATGAAAAGTATGACTAACACAAGGATCAACAGGTTGACGTGACTGGCATGTTGTATACAAAAACATTAGATTATCTGTTGAAGTTTGTCAGACCAGACATTTATATTAAAATAAATTGCATCATAATTTCAGTTAGATTTGACTCTTTTTTTATTTGGGGTGAGGGGAGATTGATTAGCGAAATCAAATGCAAGAACATTGAGGATATAGCCTAAATTGTTGCATAGTATAATCAGTACAATATAAAATGCTATTATTTCTGTGTCAACACATACCAAACTTTCGAAGTTGTTTAAAAAAGTTGAATTTATTAGAAACTATTAAAAGGGCATAATTGTTAATGAACAGAAGAAACTCACATGTGACTTTTGTTGTTCGCCATGTGTCCTAGCAGAAATAGGCGTGGAAACTGATGGAGATGAATTTGAAGCAGGGGTCACAGGTAGAGAGGTACATTTTTGCCAATTGGAGGAGGAGACGAAGTTTGCTGAAAGAGGGCTTCCTGGAGCTACCTTGTAATCTGAACTGAGGAGAGAGTTTCTCTCACCGTCAGATGAAGAAACTTTCTTCTTAAAGCTTAAAGCCCGAAGAAAACCTCTTGGACTTAGTGAATGGGGTGAATACTTTCTGCCAATTCCAGTTCCAAAACCAGCATGTTTTGGGGGTATTTGAAGGGAAAGATCAGCTCGTTTCATGCTTGGGCCCAAACCGGAAACCATATTCGAGGATTCCGTTTTCTGAAAATCAGTCTGCATGTACCCCAAAGATAAAGAATTTCTTGTTACATGTGGTAGTACTGCCACAGAACTTCTAACTTTATGTAATTGCACACTTGTTAATTTCTCCACTCTGAGTAACATAGCTGATGGTAATCTTCAGAAAGACAGGTGAGACAGAAACTAACTAATGTTATATTCTCATGATTAGAGGCATCAGTTGGTTAGATGTAAAGCATTTTTATTTTTCCTGCAACAGTTTTTACAAATCATATTCAGGATTAGTTGAGAGTAATGTTAGCGTCATGCAGTAGCAATAGAAGTGTTTTTATGCTTGGTGATAGTTGTAAGTGGTAGGAGCAAGTTATATGAAGCATTGTTAAAGGGACTAAAATCCTACTTCCTTATGTGATGTACAAACACTTTCCTCTGGAAAATATTTTCATAAATTTTAAAGACAGATAGCACTTGAAAGTAGAAAAACATTCTTAACTGACGCTCAAGGCCTCATAGAACCCAAAAAATGGGAAGACCTGGGGAAGAAGGGCACAAAGGGGATGAATGGGAAGATCAAAAAGTTGGAAGAAGAAAGGACTTTTTGGATCATGGCTTTTGTGAAATTATTTTCGGAACTTTGCAAGAAATTATACAATGTTTAAAGTCAACTTACTATTAAGTAAAAGTCTCTTAGATCTATCATTGACCATCAGACCAGAACTATCCTTCATCTAGATGCCAGATAATGGTAAAAACAGAACTAATGCAAAAATATCCTTCATTGTGTACTTCAAAGAATATCTACGCACGGACACTCTCACATATATCTTCTTAGCACAAAAAAAAAAAGCCTTCAAAAGGTCTTACGTTCTACAATCGCACTTCTTTCAAATGTCACTAGAGATTTCTCTAGCAAAAATTATACCCCTATTAAATGCCATAAGGTAACGTAAAATCACTAAAATAGCATAGAATACCATTGCAATGACAATCTTAATCCCCATAAACAAGAACTCAAACATTTTTCAGTATTGAATTATCATCCAAAAAGTTGGACATATTTCATACATTAGTAGGCACCTAAATAAATGAGGAAAGCACTACCTCTCGAAACCGAGAAGCCTGCATTTCCTGAAGTTTTAGAAAAGCTATCATCCCAAAAAAAGAACGGCATAGGGATATGAAGAGTCAACTCATCTAATCTTTCATTTGAATTCGGACATCCATCTCACCTTTTTAAATAAAATTACATATTTGGGAACTACATAGAATGGGGGCCTCGGAGTAACAATAAAATTGACTCTGTGTGACCCACAAGTCACTGGTTTGATCCGTGAAATCAGCCATTTACATTAGGGTAGTCGGGCTACATCACACCTCCTTGGGGTGCGTAACATGGAATCCTTTGTGCACCGGGCTGCCCTTTTGTTTGGGTACTACACAAAAAGTGCTAGAAATCACAACTTTTTACATTTAAAAATAATCAAATTTTATTAAAAGATGGTCGTCTGAGAAAACACGGTTTGGTCTCCTAAACAGTGAGTACCAAACAATTTGAGATAGAGGGTGCATTTGGTATGAAGGAAATATTTTCGTTTAAAAGTATTTCCTTGGAAAATGTTTTCTTGGAAAATAAGTGGTTTTCTTACTTATTTTCCGGTGTTTGATTAGGTCGCAGAAAATATTTTTGGAAAATATATAATTTAGGCAGACCAATATGAGACGAAATGGTTAAGGGCGGGAGGGTGGTAGGTCGGGGTCTTGGGGCCTTGAGTTCACAAGAAAAATATTTTCCAAACTATTTAAGCCAACCAAATATGGGTAAATTACAATTTACTTAGTACCAAACACATCAAGAGAGAGTACATATATTAAACACACTCATATTTATTTATACTCTATAACTGATTAAAAAAGAAAGCTTTTATGCACAATGGTAACATATGAATCCAGATACTAAAAGCACCATCTGAAGCTGAACAAAAAAGAGAAAAACAAAATCTCTATATTGAGCAGCCACAACAGTAAAAGTGTAAAACTACACTAACCTGTGATGTACTAGGCGAAGCAGGAGGAGGACCATTATCTGAAATTGATGTAGATGCTGCTTCTGTTCCTCTAGGTGCATCCATTCTTTATTACTATTACCTTAAAAACACAACAATAAGAGATTGTATAGAACAGAAAGCCAAGTAAAAAGTTCAAAAAATGAACAGAAAATTTGCCAACTTACTTTACATACAGAGGATTAAAGATATCTATGGAGATTTTAGAAGACCCCTAATTCCCCAAATGAAGGGTACTAAGAAAGAGTAAGGAAGACTGAGGAGAATGGATTGAGACTATGGACAGGTCGTTTGTTTGGAATAAGACTGAGAATCAAAGTGACTGTTTAGGGGGCTGTGGTTGGCCCACCACTGTATTGAAATCGCTTTTTTTCTTGCCGTTTTATTTTATTACGTTAGATGTTAGTATAGGTTTCTTTTCTATTTTTTCATGTATATACCAACAAATTTTTATGTCACCAGAATCTGATCTTGGTATTAGATTACCTTGTTTTCTAAGTATGTAATTGATAATGTTAGAACAACTTACCAACAGTAATTATTTATCTTCTTTTCAAGGTACCATTTTAACTTGTTATAAATTATTTGGCATTTAAATAATTTGAGCTTGTAAAGATAGCAACTCATCCAATTTTGGAGGACAAAGTTGTTAGGATATCTGCCGGTGGGAGGTTGCAATAGTTAGTAAAAATACACGCAAGCTGACGATGTTACGCATAAAAAAAATTAGTTAGGAACTAATTTGTGTAATACTCTTTTTTTTTTTTTTTTTTTTTTTTTTTTTTTTTGATAAACCGCTTGTTGCTATGGATGATTCAATTTTTGGTACTGGGTGCAGGCACATCCATTCCCTTTGCTTTGGATTATATATATGTAATTGAAATATTTTTAAAATTACATATCTATACCAAATCTAAACTAGGAATCACATAGAATTTGTTAGTGCAATGATGCACCGCTTCCAAATTCAATGGACTCCACCTATGTCCCAGAAGTTATTGCTTGGGATTCCAATGTCTACAAGTGTTCCAAGAAGTGAACTTATTAACAGATTCAGAATATTGGTATTGTCTAGCAATATTTGGCATGACTTCTTTTTCTTTCTTTTAGTCATCTTGTATTTGAAATCCGTTGATCCAATTAATTTAGATTTACACTGTCAAGTTCATGGAAAAAGGGAGCCTTGGAGCAACAGTTAAGTTGTCTCTGTGTGACCTATATGTCACGGGTTCGAACCGTGAAATTAGTAATTGACACTTGCATTAAGATAGGTGTCACAAGCTTGATTTCTGTCGGCCGAAACCAGCATGCACGGCAGCCAGACCTCACGCCCAACTTCAGCCTTCCCAACACTACTTAGCCAAAATTTCAGCAACTTTGGACTTAGAATATTTTAGGCAGCTTTTAACGTATTAGGTTTATGACTGATTTATGCAACAAATTTAAGTAAAGACAACAGAATAAAAACAAGAACACAAGGCAAAATATACAGAAATTTTTTTTTCCAACTTTGTATTTAACTCGAGCATACAAAGAAACTCAAAGTACAATGCCGTGTATAAAAGATCACTCTTGACCTTCAAATTTTCTCTCAAAGACTATTCTTACCCTTATGAGTTTTCACTCTTGAAAACATACTTAGGAACTCTTTCCTAACTCAAACATGTACTCCCACACGTTTTTATAGATCATGTGATAGCCTTTTTCCTTTACACTTGTCGCTCTTAGGCTTAGACATTTGTCCCACACAGTCCACTATTTATCCTAATGTAGTTGACATCCCCCAACTACTAGGATCATGCTAAGAAAATGGGAATAAGGCTCCAAAAACGTTATGTAACCACCTGTCAGATTTGAACAAAAGCTAATTGTTGCCATGTGCACAGTGTGTGCCTTGTAACCGCCTTTGACTTTGTCAATGTTGAAGCTTGCTGCCCATGTGCGTGCCTTGGTTTGAATCAGGCGTCAATGCTTTGCTCTCAGGTGCATTGCAGCCACATTAAGCCTTAGTCAATTCCCACGCACACTGCCTTTTGCCACGCCCCAATGTCATGACAAGTCTTCCTTGTGCGCATGCCTTCGTTGCACTTAGCTTTCCCTTGCCCACTTCATTTTGGCCTTACCTTAGCATCACTGCCTCATGACTTGATGCCTTTTCCATGCCATAGTGTCACCCTCAGCCCGCATCTCAATTGTCAAGCCTTGCTAAGCTACCTTGCCTCCCTCAAGACCTTGGTCATCACTTGTTCGTTTTCCCTTTTGCCTTGTGTTATATCGCATACCTTAGCTTTGCAACACTCTTGCTGCCTCATGACAAGACTCTTGTTGTCAAGACAAGCTCAAAGAGGTGTACCCCTAACAAACAAACCACACCCTTTGAAACTCGACGTCCTCGTCGAGGTCAACTCAATTTATGAGTCCTAAGGGGTTGACATGCAACACACCTTGGCCTCTCTCCTGTTTAGCCAAAATTGCATTGACCCCAACCTCTTGATTTTTACTATTCATTGCCTCTAATACAACCCTCTTATCCGCAATAGTTATTGCATTCAACACTGCCTTCTTTGGACTGTCCCTTGCTTGATGTGGCTCATCACAAATGAAACAACCACTAAATTTGCTACCTTTCTCCTGGCTCTTTGAAGTTCCATCCTCTTTCTTTCCCTTACCCATGTCTTCATTATTATTTTCACATTTCATCCACTCCTTTGCCTTGTCATTCTTTCCATTGTTGGACTTTGAAATAGAAGTGTCTCCACCTAAGTGAAAATCACCCAATGTATCTGCATTCGCCACATCACTTGTGATGTTTTGAATATTCTGCCTATGCAACTCCAATTGTGCCCACTACTGCAGCCTGCTCATGAAGTTGTGCAATTTATCTTCCGACATATTACTTATGATCAGCATCAAAGAAGTAAATTCTTTGACATAGACTCTCACTGGTCTGATGGTAGTCTTTAGTCATAGTTTGCACTCTAATTACTGTATTTTACTTGTGTTTGAGCTTAAATAATAGTGAATTGTACTTATTACGTATTTTACACCTTGCAAGAAGTGATTTCAAGTTAAAAAGATAATCTGGAGCTAAATCGAACAATGTGAACCTTTTTTGAAGTCTAAGTAAAAGCCCAAGAAATTAAAGTGGGATTGCGTTTGGGGGCCGAGGACCAATTCTGTATATCACAACGTGAAGGAAACAAAATATTCTGGAAAACAAACACAGCCGCACCACATGTGATGGTGTGGCAGTGTATTTGCTGTTGTCCATCAGAAATCACTCTTTGAACGTCTCCACTGGCACACCGCATTGGGCAGCGCCCCATGCACCGCACCGGTGCAATTTTTACAGAGTATTTTTTTATTTCGGCTTGGAAAGGGTAGTTTCGTCCGGGCTCGCTCCTACATGGTATAAATACACCAAAAATAGGTTTTTGAAGGGACTTTTGACCTACAGAATATTGGAAGAGCATTGGAGACTCAAAGCATAAGGATTCATCATTCTTTCCTCAACTCAACACCTGAGTTTGGATTGAATTCATGTTTCTTATTCTTTAACTTTGTTTGTGATGACCTTCTCCATGATTATAGAGTAGTTTACTTTACGGTTTGACGAATATGGTATTTTGATTGATATTTGTGGATTTTAACTCCAGTTCCTTGTATGATTTCATTTATGGAGCTTTGAATTGATTGTAATTTTGTTCATCGAATTATTTAATCGAAAGAGGAATAATTTGGGTAATGATCTTTGCATTATTTTGCTTGTTTAATTCAGTGATTCTTTTAAGTAATCGAAAGAGCTTGTTGAATTGTTGATTAAATCAAGTTTAAAAAAATATTCGAGAGACGTTTTCCTAAAGACTAGTCCATTAAAGCGTTCTTGCATATTTTCACAGTGCTTTATATTAGTTCACCTCGTAGAGTTAATCGAGAGAGGAGTCTTGGCTACACGTTTGGACTAATCATCGAGTGAATTCATGAGAATCATTAGAATATTAAAGTGAATTAAACTAGAGTTAGATCCCGAATAGCCATCTTGCACCTATCCTGTCATGACCCTTATTTTTCGCATTGATTATTTTGGTGTTGCTCAACTCTTGTCTTTATGTGAACAAGTATTAATTGCTTTAATTTTCATAATTAATTTTAGTTATAAATCATCCCAACTAAAGTGTTAATCATCATGAATAACATTGAGTTAGAAATTACTTTAACCGTATTTAAATCCAATCCTTGTGGAGACGATAATTAAACTATACTATCTTTGGCTAGCGAGCATCAATTTCGTATTATGTTTTGCGCTTGTCAAATTTTGGCGTCATTGCTGGGGATTGACAATTAATAGTGTTCAAAATAAGTTTTTGGTGCTACTTCAGGAACCAATTTTATTTTATTCTTCACAGATTTTCTCTTCTGCGTGCAAGTAACACGTTTAACTTCTCTGGTGTATGACTCGACCTTCTTCAAAAAAAGTGAATCCATACGATCCAGAGGTGGAAAAGTGTCTACGACAGTTGAGGAAAGAGAAAGAACTCACCGAAAAATTCTTGGGGCAATTTTCAACCCAAGAACACATGGCTAAGAACGGTGATGGTATGGTAGACTTAGCTGCAAGAGAGGCAACACAACAGAGAGCAGCTAAAGCAGTCCTTAGAGCTGCTAATGAGACTGTTGAAGAGAATGGGGGTCGGAGATTCAATTTAAATCAACTCCTGGTTGAAGACCACTTCAAAAATATGGCTCCCAGGCCTGGGAGAGCATTAGATGATTTTCCCATACCAGTCTACAATCAGGGATTGCCAAGGTGTCAGACCTCCACCCATAGCAGCAAATAATTTTGAGTTGAAGCAAGGCTTGCTTCAAACCATCCAGAATAGCTATGTCTTTAGAGGGAAGGTGAGTAAAGATCCTAAAACTCACTTGATGGATTTTAAGGAAATCATGAACACCTTCTAGTACAATGGAGTATCAAAAGATGCAGTCTTCTTAAGGGCATTCCCCTTTTCACTGAAGGATGATGCGAAGCATTGGTTTTGAAGCTTACCAACTGGGTCGATCAGGACATGGGAATATATGACTAAAAAGTTTCTTGACAAGTACTTCTCAGCTGCAAAAACAGTGAAATTCAGAAGGAAAATCCACAGCTTCTGCCGGAGGGACACTAAAATAGTTTTTGACTCCCGAGAAAGATTCAAGGAGATAGTGATAAGGTGTCAGCATAATGAAAATGAACTGTGGATGCAACTCCAAGACTTTTGGGATGGACTTACACCTTCCACGATGAACTTTGAGTATCGCAGTTGGAGGTCCTTTAATGAAGAAAACTCCTGAGGATAT